TAGCGCTGTTTACTTCTGGTTGATATTCTAGCATTGGCGGAAGTAATGAATTCGTCTATAGACGGTTCAGTTTAAGCTGACTCGGGCCCTGTCGGTTGTAGCTACAATCGTGTAGTTACAAACAGGGACGTACAGCCGACAGGGTCCGAGTCGCTTAAACTGAACCGTCTATAGATGGATTCATTTCTTCCGCCAATGCTAGAATATGAACCAGAAGTAAACAGCGCAAGGAATAAAGCGAAAACGAAAGGTATGCCTCTGCGAAGCTCTCCCCTTGTCCAAGCGCTCGGAGGGACTAGGGGGGCCGCGGGGGCCCGATTCAGGAAAGCACTTTGACTACCCTCGGCGTCTGTAGTTACAATCGTGTAGCCACCAACAGGGACGTGCCTTGTTCAGCTTCTGCAAGCTCTCATAACGCCTGATAGGTAGGCAACATCTTGCCTGTTGTGCATGCGTGTACCGCGGGGTGGCCTACCCTGCGTCTCGCAGGCGCCTAACTCCTGTCATCGGCCAAACGAATGAGAAAAACGAACGTACTTTCTGGACTTTCCCTATATCGCAGCAGGGCATCATTGGGTTAATCGTCCCACTTCCACAGTTGAGTTATTGTAACCACGTCGGGTCGTCCGCTCGTGGTTGGAAAGGTACTCTGGTCGCCGGGGGACCATTATGTGCGTGTCATTGGTATCCTAAAGACTAGACGTGAAACGTGCGTCCCATTTCCAATGCCCCATGACTTGGCGGCACCTACCTGCAGCGGTGATCCTAATTGTCTACGAGTTTGAACAACGCAGCAACAACTCGGAGCGGAGCGCCTCCGAAGAACACGGAGCAACGCGGATCGGCGCGCGGCTCCTGTGGGGGAAGAACCAACTCCCTGCGCCAGGCGTTTGACAACGCGAAGTGAACGATGGGAAGGGAGGGGAGGGCAGACTGGAATGTTCTCCCGCCTTTTTAACGCGGTGCACAAATATCTGGACAGCGCCGGAATTCTTAAACCTGCGCTCCGGAGAGCGAGATGGAATGGCGGGGTGGGGTGGGGTAGGGGTGGTTTCCTCCACCTCGCCCTCTCTTTCTTTCTCTGTTATTCGTCTGCTCTTTTCCTTAGAGTTTGCTCCGAGGGGGGTCGAGTCAGGTCGGAGGGGTCGCCGCGGCAACGCTGAGCCGGTCCCTGCTGCTTCCCATGCGAAACGCGTCCTCCGGGACCTCACTAGTAGTTAGCAGCGTGGCGGGGCGTGGCAGAGCGTAGCGGCGCTGCTGGCCCCTCCCCGCCGAGGCCCGCCGGGGGAGGATGAGCTCCCGCTCCCTCCCCGGCCTGGATGAAGAATGCCAAGCTGTTCCAGCTGTAACAACGGCACGGCTCCAGCCGGCTCCAGCGGGTCTCACAGCATCATCGCTGGACCGGACACTAGTACACCATCGCCTTCCGAACCAGTAGCACTGCTGCTGTTCCTCCTACCCTTCTCCTCCCCCCCC